CCAAGGTTTATGATTACAGTGTTTCAATCTGCCTAATAAACTAGAATTTTAAGGATCCCTTGTTGGACATTTGTAGCCAACAATATGAGGGATTAGATGCCTAACTGATTCTTTTCTGCCCTTTTCACATCCCTGAAAATCCATTAATGTATCTACTACTGTAATACATAGTAATCTCACCCTTAAAACTAAGTCATAAAAAACAGCAAGGAGGAAGAGAACTCCCTTACCTTTCATACCTGCAGTTTTTCAGGATCTTGAGCAGGGTGGAATAAGGTCACATGTAAACACCTGAATCCATTTTTATATCTAATAAGTCAGGGGTGGACTAAATATGGCCTGTGGGCTGGATCCATCTTGCCAACTGATTTCATCCAGCCTGCAGGCAGGCATCTGCCAATTGATTGCATCTGGCCTGTGGCTGCCCCTGCAGTACTCCACATGAGGCTGAGACCTATCTGGGGCAGCCTGCACCATGCTGCCAACCCCTCCTGCTGATGGCACCAGCCAGTGCTTATAGCTTCCCTGTGGGACTCCTTCTGGTGCAGCTGCATGAGTAATGCTTGGCACCTCCCGTCTCCACAGCAGGGTCAGGAGGATCCACTTGGGGCATGGAGAGCTGAGCAATATTTGGATGGCTGCAGCAGCAGCCCCACTGACAAGCTGTGTGCACTGGCAGGGGCTGGGGTGGTATTGCCTGGAAGGTGTGGGGTGGGTGCAGGCAAGAGCATGGTATGGGGTACCCCAGGCAGGAGCAGGTGGGGACTCAGCCCCATGTGGATTGTTGCAGGGGCAGCTGCAGGCCAGATTGAGGGGGTGGTGGGGTAGATTGCACCTGCACTTCAGCAGCTGGGCAAGCTCTGCTGCACAGGCCTCCTGCCTCTCTCCAGCCACCCCACTCGCAGCTGGCTCCAGGGACCTAGCATGTGAGCAGCCACCCAGACACATGCGCATCCCCCTCCCCACACCTCCATGTACACACCCAACCCCTGCACCCTCCAAACACCCCCCCCCCCCCCACAATATAAGAGTAAGACTTTATTTTGAGCTTTTACGCAATTGCCTCAACAGCTCCCCCCAAAATCAGGGCAAAAATATTTTTTGAAATAAAATTAAAATATGTTACAGTAGATTTCTGACTTTTAGTATACAATGCATCTTTTTATCTGTAATTTGTTAAAATGATATCTTCAGAAAGATTGTGTGGCCCTCAACAGCTCACCAAAACTCATTAAGTTGCCCTCTAGCCGAAATAATTGGTTACACCTGTAATGACTCCAATAGAATCTAGACAAAGATGTTAAAAGGTGTATTGCTCAAAGAATTAGAGGTATCAAATGGTCTAGCCAAAGCAATAACTGGAAAGAACAGAATTTAAAAATGTAATTGTAGAATAAAGCAGTTTCTGACAGTTTGAAGTATCTACATAGGCCCCTGGCACATGCTCATTTCAAGATGCAGTGGGCTCTGATCCCCGAATCCCAAAATTGCTCCTCTTGCCATACCACATGTACATGGCAGGAAGATCAGATCCCAGTCATTCCCTTTCTACTTGCCAGTGCAGAGGAGCCTGGCTTCATGTTCCTGGGCTCCCTCTGTACCAGCAAGTTGAAACCTGGATGCCTAAAGCCTGGCATGACCTTATGCTTTCCCAGTGCAGTTTTGGAGCCTGGGCCAAGTTCAAATCCTGGTGTATAAAGACCAGGAATGACAATCAGCTCCAGGCAAGCCATGTGTTCAACTTAAAACACCATGCATAACAGCTACAAAAACGTTCTATGTTATATGTGGGACATTTTCATGGCTGGTTTGCTATTTTTAGTTAAGTGCACATGTAGCACGTTTACCATTTATGCCATGATTAATAATTAAGCGGGGGCAGGGAGGGGCATAGTGACAAAATTCATTAGAAAACTCCTAAAAGTCCTATAGGCTCCCTAGAAAAGTACACTTAATTGTGTGCAGAGCTACCAATAGCTGCAATGCTATACTGAAATCTTGCATACAGTGTTTGTCTCTTGCTTAATTGTGATTTTTTATTTTCTTAGTCAGACTTGGTTAAATCTTAGAGACCTTACTCAGAGGAAATTCTTACTGGTTACTTACAAAGACAATTCTGCTATAGAAAGGACAACAGGTTTTGGTTGCTTGCTGGGTTATGATACAACCCAACTAAGTACAGAGTTCTTAAGAACAGTAACAAGATGAACTGAAACACTGCATTGATTTAACATTGTATCTCCAGGCCTTGCAACACAGTGTAAATAAGGAGCAATCTGTTTTATAGTGTCAAGGGTAGGGTCCTACCGGTGGGCCATGATCTCCTTAAGGCCCCTTCCTCCATGACAAGTCAGCCCAAGGGCACCCTCCGATTCTCACCCGCCATGCCTTTGATGTTTAGATAGTCGGGAGGCTGCCTTACACCCTCTGGGTCACTTCCCTATGTTGATTCTGACCCCGTGGTTTCCCAGACTCCTCGTGGGTCTTGTCCTGCAAATAGGTGCTTTGGCGCACCCTAGCCTTATGTGCTATGCATGGCTCCAACCACCCCTTATACCATGCCCCAAGCCTCGCAGTTGGAATAGACGTTGTTCAGTCTTTCTGTCTCCCCTCACCCCCGCCTCTTGAGCCTTCTCGGTACTGCTGCCTGCCTCTTGGGGCTCTCCGTGCCCACTCTGGGCCTTTTCCGTAATGCCGCCACTTTCCTGGGGCTCTCTGTGGCCGCATTGAGCCTTCTCAGTCAAACCACCCTTCAGTAAGCTGAAGTTACCTTCAGTAACCGCAGCCAGTAAGCTGCCCCCTTCCCTGGGGCTCACCACACCCACACTAGGGCTTCTTCATAGTGCCCCTTCTCTGGGGCTGGGGTCTATGCACCCCACATGCAGCACCCTTACTGGTGCTGGGGCCCCCACACTGCTGCGAGTCCCCTATGAGGCCTCCTCCAACCCCTAATAGCCTCACCCAAGCCACCAGTGTAACAACAAAACAAAACAGAAACTCGAGTCTCTTGGCTATAACCTAAACATAAGCCGCCTGGCTATAACAACATTGCTCAAGCATCTTAGAGCTGCCATAAGCTGTACCTGCAGTCAGGTGTCTTTCCACATCCTGGCTTAGAAAGCTCCTGCCTCTCTGGCTGCTGGCAGGGAACTGCCTGCCGTCTATGCTTTATATAGGAGCCAGGCCCTGCCCCTTTCAGTCAGCTGACCTCCTGGTTGGCCTGGCAACCCACAGCTGGGCTCCTTATTCCCTGCTAGGGCTCGTTCCCCAGCAGTTTCCCCTCTCTAGGAGCAGGGCACCTCCGCGCTCTGTGACATACAGTTATAAGCGGGGGTAAAATCACTAACTACTCCTGAACTTTGTGGCTTTAAGTAGCTATTTGCATAATTAGAGCTTTGTTTTCCAATCTTTATTCATAATGCTTTTTAAAGAAAAAGCATATTTTTGGCTCTGTGTCCACTAGACAAAATGCAGACACCTGTTGAGGTATGAGGTGTAGCTGAATGAGGATGGGAGCGTGCTCAGTGAAAAACTGATTCTTGGAATGTGGTCATTTATTTATATAATAGGTTATTGATACTTTTAAAAAAAGTATTAACTATTAATCTGCCCTTGAAGATAATTCAGCTTGTTCTAAGAAAACCATAAGCAAAGGCAGCAATAATCTGCTTCTATGTAAGTTGTCACTACCTTTCTTTCCCCCTCAGACTTCCAAATTGGTCTGAGGAAGTAAGATTAGGGGCAACAATTGCCTGAACACACCACCAAAAATAAGCTAGAAGAGCCCTGTTCATTCAGTATTGAATGTCCCACTCTTCAGCTATAAATGTATGCCACAGGAAGTGGGTACAGCAGTATTTTTCTAAATAATGCATGTAGGACCTGATGCAATGCCCATGAAAATAATTGGAAAGGCTCTTGTGGACTTCAGTTTACTTTAGATCCAGTTGTTCATAGCTCCCTTCTCATTTTTCTAAACACTCTTGCAGCTCTTTTTTTATTTTTAAGCTCAGAGTTTGAAACTGGTAGCAGAAATTTTGCTTATTCTGAATTAATCCCTTCCCCCCTCCCTATTCCAATATATCCTTCCCCCACATTACTTTTTGCTTTCATCCAAGCTGTTTTATAAATAAATAATAAAATGTACTGCACAAAACATGTAGTAAATCAATCTTTGAGTTTAACTCACTGTTTACTTTAGCAAATACAGTGCAGATTGAAATAATTTGTTTCTACATTACTTGTCAATTTTAAAGTGCTTTTTAAAAACCATGTTCTTTTGCTGACAGGATTTGAAATCTAGCAATCAGCAAGATGAAATTGCAGCAGCACGTGCTTCTTTGAAGGAAAATGCTTCTCTTCTACATTCAATTTGTTCAGCTTGTTTGGAACATTCAGATGTTGCATCACTTACAACCAGTAAGGACTCAGTTTGTAATGAGATACAGAATGCTCTCAATGCCATTTCGAATGCTTCTCAACGAATTAGAAATCATAACATTCAACCTACATCTCATTCCGCTACGCTAGGAAGCGCACTTGATGATCTTGAGGTAGGTAAATATATAAACATGTAGCACTGCAGCTTACTCAGGCAAATTACTTAATTTATTTTAAATGAACATAATACTATTTTAAAAGTGGCAGATTGAATATATTAGAAACTCAAGTTTTGTATATTCATACTGTGTGCATTAGCAGGACATACTCAGCCCCATGCAGAGTGCTGCAGGGGCAGCTCGAGGCCAGATCCAATCAATCGGTGGGCTGAATCTGGCCTAGGGGCCATATTTTCTCTACCCCTGTCTTATACAATGCCAAGTGTTCTCAACTCCCACTATGTCTGTTGCCCTGTGGGGTCAGGCCAACTCTCAGGATCTCAATATTGCACTGTTAGACAGGAGGGTGTGACACAATTGCACATATACAAACATACAAATCAAGTAGGTGCATATACAGGCACAATACCAACTCAGGCACATACACATCCAAACCAGCCTAGGCACATGCATACCTATCACCAATTCAAGCACATACACTATACACCCCAAAAAGTTAGACAAAAATCAATTGTCTATACCTGCACACACAGTACAGACAGGAGGGTGTGACACAATTGCACATATACAAACATACAAATCAAGTAGGTGCATATACAGGCACAATACCAACTCAGGCACATACACATCCAAACCAGCCTAGGCACATGCATACCTATCACCAATTCAAGCACATACACTATACACCCCAAAAAGTTAGACAAAAATCAATTGTCTATACCTGCACACACAGTACAATTTGTATATCATGCACACAATGACATATATATATATGTGTATATATATATATATATATATATATATATATATATGTATATATACGTACACATACATAGAATCATAGAAGTAGGGTCGGAAGGGACCTTGTAGATCTTCAAGTCTGCCCCCCTGCCTGGGCAGGAGGAAAACTGCGCTCAATGACCCCAGCCAGGTAGGCATCGAGCCGCTTCTTAAAGACCCCCAGGGTAGGAGCCAGCACCACTTCCCTTGGAAGCTGGTTCCAGATCCTAGCCACCCTAACTGTGAAGTAGTTCTTATGGATGTCTAATCTAAACCTACTCTCCAACAACTTGTGGCCGTTATTCCTTGTTATCCTGGGGGGCACTAGGGGAAACAAGG